CTCCCGTGCCTGTTGCCTTTTGTGATTAATAGATCAGTGGCTTTGTTCTTGTATTTTCCTTTTGTGATTAATAGATCTGTGGCTTTGTTCTTATATTTTCCGCTTGTTCATAGTAAGATTAGTGTCCAAACTTATATTATTTCTGGCCTCGGAAGGTCGCTTATTCTTTTCTTGGTTTGTCAAATATACTATGGTTATTACTCCAGAGTTTGATTCTAGAGTGTCTGTGGTGCCTGGAGGGTGTATAAAGTTTGTGATAGAGAACCCTGTGCCATAGAAGGGCATAGAGATTGTGGTAGAGTATTTGTATATTGTAGGTGTGCCATAGAAGGGCGTAGAGATTGTGGTACAGTATTTGTATATTGAAGGATTGAACCATGAGCGTTGCTCTTTGGCTACTGGTTTGTTGATTGAAATTAGGAAAGGCGTAATTTCAGAAACCTCCCTTGAGGTTGCTTACTGGTATTTCATTGGTCTCCCTTTTAGTTTCAAAAATTATACTAGCCTCCTTTGAGATTTATTATCTTATAACATCTAGATCCAACTAGCAATAAAAAAAAATGATATTAGGAGAGAGAAGATAACATAATTTCACCATTGCCCTTCAACTATTATATTATTTAGTTAATCTAATACCAATCCACATATTAAAGAAAAACACTAGAATTTACTATTTATTATCAGAGATTAAATCACATATAGCATAAAAAAATAGTGTATCATTATATATATTTCACCTAATATAAGATCCAAATTGCTCTTTTCAGTTACAAACCTATTGTAAAATATGATCAACAACAAATAATAAAAAAAAACTGCAACCAAAACTGAGGAACTCTGTCAAGATTGTTGGTATGGTGCATTGATCAAGGAAAAAGATATTGCCAAATTGTTGAATTGTCTACAGTGGAACTTGATCAAGCCTGAAACTTGGGAGGCCAAGAAATTTAAGAAGGAAGGAAAAAAAAAGCACTTGCGAAGGTACGTAAATGGTTTCGAGTTGAAATGGAGAGAGAATTGTCAATGGTGTAAAATTAAAATTTTGCGCATACTAAGTACTATTGAAGAAAGACGAGAATGGGAGCTAATAATGGAGAAATATCTCAAAAAGTGTGGTTGGGGTGATATTTTTAAAATAAATTCTTTCTATGGTTTGTTAAAAGAAGATAATAAAAAGAAGAGAAAGTTTTTTTTTTTTGGTCAGGATTATGCAAAAATCCATGGTTGAAGAATATTATATGAGACTCTTTATTAATTCTCAATCACCTAAATGTTTTTAGTTAAACCACTACTATATATTGATAGAACTTGATTATGAGCCTGTTCATAAGTCAAAACTTGATTTAACATGGGAGTTTAATTTGGAAAAAGTTGTGTTTGTTGATGATGCAAAAAGTATTTGTGAAATTTTTGTTACGATTAAGAATTATGATTTACATACTTTGTTTGGGTGATTGATGAAGAAGAATTAGTCAGTGCATTAATTTGATTGTGGATAAAGATGTAAAAGAAATCATTGATACTTGTTGGGTGGATGAATCCATTGACAATTATGAAATTGGAAATTGTTGATGAAAAGAAAGGCATGAAGTATTGTTTGAAAATTGTGTGGATGATTATCATGAAAATGGAGGCTTTAACAGTGAATGGGTCAACATAGATGAGTTTTTGATCAAGTGAGACTAGCTACTGAATTGTGTGCAAAGTACAAGCATGTTCTACTCTCACTAGTGAAGATGAAATATAAAAATTAAATTAGAGTTGCATGTGAGTTATACTGCTACAGAGGTTGCAATGGCAATTCAAGTTAGAGATGACATCGGAATTGACTGCATGAGGAGTTTGGTTTAAGGGAGACAATGTTGGCAGTAAATAAATAAATAAATCAAGCTATTTAGAATATTTGGGATTTTAGTTGTTTTAGAAGTTGAATTTTTATTTGGTAATTAGATTAGAATTGGTGTCATTAATTTAGGAAATAGAATTGTGTTTTAGAATTAGAATTAGAATAGGTTTTATGGTTCTGTTTCTCTATTCAAGGACTTGAAGTCCACGTTCGTAGATTGAGGAAAATTGATTTATACTATTTCAATTCCTCCCATGCCCGTTGCCTTTGTTCTTATATTTTCGGCTTGTTCATAGTAGGAATTAGCGTCCAAACCTATATTATTTTTGGCCTCGGAAGAATGCTCATTCTTTTCTTGGTTTGTCAAATATAATATGATCATTACTTTTCGCTGCATGACTTTTTGTGCTAACATAGTGTCAGGGCTTGGATTAATCAGATTTGGGAATTGGAAGGAAAGGGAGAAGAGAGAGAGAGAATCAGAGAGAGATGCGAGAAGAAAGAGAAAGGAAATGTTAACAGAATTCTGTTATTACAACTCAGATGCCCTGACCAATCACAGAGCTCCTTATTTATAACCTGATGCAACCGACTAACTAACTCCTTTAAGTAAAGCGACAACGTTTCTATAGCAATTGCATCTCCTAAAATAAAACTCACTAAACGACGACGTATACTTTGTTGTTCCTGACATTGCCTCCCTCTTCAGTTTAGACTTGTCCGCAAGTCTTAAATTCAGGAAATTGTTGCTCAATAAAATCTTTATCTTCCCAGGACGCTTCATCATACTCCAATTGTTGCCACTGGATCAGATATTGTACCACAGGCATTCCCTTCCTTAGAACAGCTCGTCTCTTCAAGATCATTTCTGGCATTAAGAGACTTTGGTCCTGCAAATTGAACTCTGGTAATGTAGTGGAGACTTGCTGGGATGGACCAATTTTCTTCTTCAGTAGAGACATGTGAAACACTGGATGTATCCTTAGCTGCGGGAGGCAATTTGAGTTTATAAGCAACCTCACCTATCTTTTCTTCCACCTCAAAAGGCCCATAAAACTTTGCTGCGAGCTTAAGCTTCTTCCAAATGGCTATGGTTTGCTGCCTATACGGCTGCAGCTTGAGGAACACCAAATCCTCAACTTCGAAACTTCTCTCAGTCCTATGCCTATCTGTAAAGTATTTTGTTCGCTGTTGAGCTTTAAGCAAATGCTCCCTAATACTGGCTGAGATTCTCATTCTGTCCTGGAGTGCTTGAGCTGCTGTAGGAATTATAGAGTCACAATAGGGACCCATTGGCAAGGGTAACACCTTGTAGCCGTAGAGAGCTTCGAAAGGGGTCACATTTAAGCTTGAGTGATAAGCGGAATTGTACCACCATTCCGCCAGGGGAAGCCATTTACTCCACTGACTTGGAAACTCTCCAGTAATGCACCTCAAATATGCCTCTGCACACTGATTAACTCTCTCACTTTGACCATCTGTCTCTAGATAGTGTGCAGAACTGTAGCACAAATTTACTCCCACCAATCGAAATAATTCCTTCCAGAAGTTGCTAGTAAAGATTTTGTCTCTATCTGTAACTATAGTTTCAGGTAATCCGTGAAGCCTGTACACTTGATCAAGTAAAACTTGTGCTACCTGCTTGGCTGAAAAAGGATGAGTAAGCAACAGGAAGTAGCTGTATTTGGTGAGTCGATCCACTACCACCAGAATGGTATCAAAGTGTTGTGAATGTGGTAGTTTCTCTATGAAATCCATAGAGATGTGTGTCTATGCTTGGCTGGGTATGGGGAGAGGTTGCAAAAGTCTAGGATACTGAATGTGCTCAGCTTTATTCCTCTGACAGTTATCACAGGTCTGCACAAATCTCCTAACATCCTATTTCAATTCAGGCCAGTAGAATATACTACTGATTCTGTGCCAGCTCACTCTCTGTCCTGAATGGCCTCCAACAGCAGAAGAGTGCAAGGCCTCTATGATCTGCTCTTTGATTCCATTACTTGACCCCACATAGAGCTTCCCCTTATACCTGAGAATACCATCACTTAGTTGGTACTGATTTGGGTATTCAAGTTCCAATATCAGCTTGGTAACCAACTCCTAACACTGAGAATCTTTCTCGTAACTTCTGATCAATTCTGTCATCCATACTGGCTTAACAGTAGTTAAAGCCAGGCAGGTTCTTGTCCTGTGTTCCTCCTCACTTCCCACTGCAGCTCTTATTGACAATGCATTAGCTACCAAGTTCTCACTGCCCCGTTTGTAATGAATCTCATAATCCAGTCCCAAGAGCTTAGTTAACCACTTGTGCTGTATTGCTGTTGTCAACTTCTGATCCAGCAAGTATTTTAAAGACTAATGGTCAGTCCTTATGATGAAATGGTAGCCTACTAGTAATGTCTCCATTTTGTCACAACCATCACTAATGCCGACAATTATTTTTCATAGGCAGACAGTCCTAAATTCCTTAGACTCAGTGATTTACTGAGAAATGCAATAGGATGCCCCTCCTGCATGAGTACAGCTCCAATTCCCCCTCCACTCACATCAGTCTCTACCACAAATGGCTGCTTAAAGTCAGGCAATTTGAGTCCTGGAGCTAAGGTCATTACCCTTTTGAGCAAGTCAAAGGCTTTCTGAGCTGTGTCAATCCAGACAAATGCATCCTCCTCAGTAGCTCTGTCAGTGGTCTACACATAATCCCATAATCTTTAATGAATCTTCTGTAGTACCCTGCGAGTCCAAGAAATCCCCTTAAGTCCTTCACTGATTGAGATGTAGGCCAGGTCACAATATTGTCCACTTTGGAAGAATCCATGCTAACTCCTTCTTCTCAGATGGTGTGTCCCAAATAATCCACTCTAGTCTGTGCAAATGAATATTTGGATCTTTTGGCAAACAACTGATTTTCTTGGAGTATAGTTAGAACTATCCTCAGGTGCCACAAGTGTAGTTCCCGTGTCTTACTGTAGATCAGAATGTCATCAAAGAAGACTAAAACAAATTTCCTCAGGTAAGGTTGGAAAACTTGATTCATTAAGGACTGAAAAGTTGCAGGAGCATTAGTTAAGCCAAAGGGCATGACTAAAAACTCATAATGGCCACAATGAGTCTGAAATGCTGTCTTGTGTACATCTTGAGGCTTAACTCTTATCTAATGGTATCCTGCTGTCCAATCCAACATAGACTTATACTTGGATCCAACTAATTCATTCAGCAGCTCGTTCACATTTGGAATGGGATAGCAATCCTTGATGGTGATCGCATTCAGTTTCCTGCAATCCACACAGAATCTCCAAGTACCTTCATTCTTCTTGACCAGTAAAACTGGTGATGCAAATGGACTGTTGCTGTTCCTTGCAATTCCATGTTGGAACATCATTGTAACTTGTTTTTCAATGTCATTCTTCTGGGAATGGAGGTATCTATAGGGCTTTAACTTGAATGGTTGAGCTCCTGGCTTCAAGGGAATTGCATGGTCACATGCCCTGGCAGGTGGTAAGGATACAGGTTGCTGAATGACAACTGAAAATTCCTCCAGTAAGTCTCTGATCTCCTGAGGTTGCTGATCCTCTCCTGTCTTTTTTGAGGCACTTGTTGAGGCCATGTCTGTCTCCATGGTTCTTATAGCAAAGTACTTTTTCTTGTACTCTATGAAGTGCCTAAGATCCTTGCCCCTGATCAGATCCAGCTCACAATCCTCTGAACTCCCTTGCAGATGAACCATTTCTCCTTGATACTTCATAGAGATTCCGAGGTTGTGAAAATCAAACGTGATAGGACTAAAATGAGTCATCCAATCCACTCCCAGCATAATATGCCAGCCACTCAGTTGCATCACCTTCAGATCAAAGCCAAATTTGTGTTGATTGACTTCCCATCTGACCCTGGGACAGATAGCCTTGCTGGTTACACATGCTCCATTCCTAACAATGACAGAGAAGGGTGAAACCATTCTATAGGGAATGTCTAGTGCAATGACCAACTCACTGTTAATGTAACTGTCAGAACTCCCTGTATCCACCAGGATTACCACTTCCTCTCCATCCAGTTGCCCTGTGATCGTGATAGTTTTCCTCTTGAGAGATTCTGACAATATATGTAAGGACATTTCCATAACAGTTCTTGGATTCCCAGTGTGCTCATCCTGTTCCCCCACTGCATCCTCAAATTCTGTGTCCTCTTCTTCATCCCCAATGAAGAAGTTTAAGTGTCCCATCTTGCACTGATGTCCTGCTCCATACTTCTCCCCACACTTAAAGCACAATCTATTGTTCCTTCTATACTGAATTTCCTGTGGTGAAATCCTCTGGTGGAGTTATTATCTGGAGTTGCCTTTCTTGCACTGGAGAACTTGTGCTGGCTAACAGGGGGAATTATGTATAGATTTCCTGAGTTTGTATTTGGAGGCTGACTTTTATGCATGCCAAACTTATTTTCCACTAGACTTTTCTGTAATTCCTTTTCTTGTTTGTTCTGCAACTGCAAGGAGTACTCCTGCAATTGAACCATCTCATAGGCAGCAGACAGCTCTGTAGGTTTAAGCATTCTGATGATTGGTTTAATTTCTTCCTTAAGTCCACTAATAAAGCTTGACACAAAGTAGCCTTCATCTAATTGGGGATTTTTCATCAACATTAAAGGCTTGAGCTTCTCAAACTTTTCCTGATAGTCCTCAACACTCCCATTCTGCTGAATCTTGTTAAATTCTTCCACTATATCTTTGCAAATTTTGTTACCAAACCTCTTGCACAAGGATTCCTCAAATTCCTTCCAACCGAGGCTTGTCTTTTCCATTTAAGGCCTTGGAACCATCTATCTGCTTTCCTCTCTAAAAACATTTCAATTAATCTACCTTCTGGCTCTCAGGAACTTGGTAATTCAGAAAATACTTATTACATTTCCTTAGCCATTCCTGCGGATTCTCTTCATAGAAAAGAGGTAGCTCTAGTTTTGGAGGATTAGGTACACAAATCCTACCTTCTTCTCCTCTGGTGAAGCCTCCATTGCTTTCGTCTTCCTTGTTGATCCTTTGTTGAGGCGGTGGTGTCGGTAGCAGTGGCCTCTCTCTTGCCTCCTCCACAGTGCTCTTTTCTCTGTTCATCATCATCTGCAAGAAAGAGTTGAATTTCTGCTCCAATCCGCTCATCGATGCCTCCACCCTCTCCAACTTCATGTTGGAATTCTCCATTTCCACCCTAATCTCGCTACCAAAATCAGTTCAAAATTGCTACTGAGAAGAGTGAAATGCTTCCATAGCCTCTTGTAATCTCGCTTCCTGTTTCTTGACATGTTCCTCCAAGGATTTTAGGCGAGTTCCTTCTGCCATTGGAGCTACCAAGGATCGGCAGCTCTGATACCACTTTGTCAGGGCCTGGATTAATCAGATTTGGGAATTGGAGGGAAATGGAGAAGAGAGAGAGAGAATCAGAGGGAGATGCGAGAAAAAAGAGAAAGGAAATGTTAACAGAATTCTGTTATTACAACTCAGATGCCCTGACCAATCACAGAGCTCCTTATTTATAACCTGATGCAACAGACTAACTAACTCCTTTAAGTAATGCGACACCGTTTCTATAGCAATTGCATCTCCTAAAATAAAACTCACTAAACGACGACGTATACTTTGTTGTTCCTGACACATAGCATCTACCAAATAATAATTTTTACTGATTATGTTAATTAGCCATTTGTAAAGTTTAAAACAATGAAGAACAACTCCATAGTACTAGATTTCAGGAACACAACTCTCATTTATAAGTTATTTACATTGTTTGTGAGGGGACCAACAATCAATCAATTCATGCTTCTACGTGATGTTGACTAAGTATTAGTGCAAGCTATCGTAGACGGCTCAAAGAGACTGGTGAGGAAAGGAATTTCACAATTACAAATAGGGACAAATATAAGTATGCTACTACTTTAGGAAGAAGAATTAGCAAGTATGCTACTACTTTAGTGCAAGATGAGGAATATCTAAGTCCTCAGTGTCGAACAACACTACTGTAAAGCTCCATATGGGTTGTTGCTCAAGTTGTATAGTTTGTTTTGTTTCTAATACAATTCCTAACGTTTTCATAAAAAAAAAAAGAATAGAGAATGATAAGGTTAATTTGTCCAACAGGCATTGTAGGACGAGACTACATATTGGTTTAAGGTAAAGCACATGTGATCTTGATTACTGAGGACAACAAATTTATGAAACTTTTGGTCTGTTGCTATTAGGGGTGCAAACGAGGGGAGTTGAGTTGAGTTTTGACCTAATTGAACCGACCGACAAGTTAATTTTTCGAAACTCGAGTTCGACGAACTCAAAATATCAAGTTCGAACTCACGCTTGACTCAAATTTGAGTCGAGCTCGAGATTAAAAAATAAAAAATAATTATTTTATTTATTTGTCGAGCTCAAGATTAAAAAATAAAAAATAATTATTTTATTTTTAAAATTAAATAAAATAATAATTTTTCTTAACAAATAATAAAATATAAGAGATATATATGTAATTTTACTATTAAAATAAAAAATAAACAATATATAATCGATCGCGAGCTAACAAATTTAGAATTTTTGAGCTCGAGTTGGACTTGATTAGCTCGAATTCGACTGGAGTTCGATACTGACTGAACTCAACTCGAGCTTGTATTCGAGCAGCTCGAGATCGGCTCACAAGCGATTCGATTCGTTTGCAACTCTAGTTGCTATCCATGAAAGGACAGTTCTGGAACATTTTCACTTTCAACATGGTTTTATAGAATACATATCAGTGGCAAGTGTTACAGAACTGTTAAACTGAAGGAATGCTCTAAAAGTGTAAATAATTGAAGTGCTTGGATAGGAGATTATTTGAAATATTGTTTAGAACACGGAAAATTGTTCAAAAATTCATTCACAATTAGCCAAATAAATTTCTTTTCATTCACTTTTAAAATAAGGTAAATTACACTTTACCTCCCTGTGGTTTAGTGTTTTTTTTTACTTAACCCCCATATGGTTTCAAAAGTTATACATAAACCACTCATGATTTGGATTAAAATGTCAAAATAACGAAAATGATCATTCGTAACGGAGTCACCTAAAATGTCAAAAATATTCTTATGTAAAGTTGAAAATTATTTAATAATCAAAGGGGATTATTTGTATATTTTGATAATCATAAGAGGGTTATATGGTAAAGTATTAAATCATAAGAGAGTTATCTAGTAAAACATAAAATCATACGAAGTTAGTGTGCCATGTATTTATAAGGGTAATTTCGATATTTTTAAAAGTTCCGTTACGAATAATCTCATTTCCATCACTTTGATATTTTAATCCAAATCATGTGGAGGTCATGTATAACTTTTGAAACTATAGGGAGGTTATGTAGAAAATACTAAATCACAGGGGGTAAAGTATAATTTGTCCTTTAAAATATTAACTTTATATCCCTTATAAATTTAAGTTAGCAAAATTTGATTCTAACCCAAGTTTCGCCTACTTTTTATCCTGAATCCTTTATGTAACCCGTACATAATTATTTTTTTGGGGGTAAAACAATTAGATCCTATTTGTAGTTAATAAATAAGCTGATCCACATTCATTTTTGTCTCAAAAAAAGTAAGATCTAACCCATACCATATCCAATTTTTCTCCTAAACAAGTGAGAGTTGACCCAATTCATATTCGTTTTTGCCACCAAAAGTGTTAGATATGACCTTTTTGTATATAAAATAGGAAAAATCATTCAAAACATCCCTCACATTTTGTAAAATAACTTTTTTCATCCCTTACTTTTAAAAGTGTAATTTTACGTCCCTTACAAATTCACATTAATCAAATTTGATCCCTACTTAGATTTTCGACTAGTTTTTAGTCGGAATCCATCACGTACCTTGCACGTAATTATTTTTTAGGAGCAAAATTATCAAATCAAACTTTATAATCTGATCCATGGTCCCCCATATTTCGCAAAATGAATTTTTTTGTCCCTTACATTTCACAAAATGAATTTTTTCTTTTCTCATATTTTATAAAATTAATTTTTTATCCTCATTGACTATGTGTAGGAATAGTTTTTTTAATCCACGTATATATCTATTTAATTTCACATGAATAATACGAATAGCATGTAATATATCTCTATTTGATTTCACCCAAATAGGTTAATTGTAATTGTATACATGCTATTCAATAGATATATACATGAGTTTAAAACTAACAATTTTATTTTAAACCCATAAATATATTTATTTGATTTCACCATGTGAATTTGTTTAATATTTGTGGCTTTTACTCTTTTAGTAATAATGTATTTATTGAGTTGTATAATAAGACAATCTAATTAATGGGTCCTAATTCGAATTCTATAGTCATACTAACGAATTGCAGTTTAAATTTGAAATTTCTACTCGCCACCTTTAAGATCAATAATTGAATTACTTACTTTGTGATTGTCTTAAAATTTGAAAGTGCCATTTACTTACTTCTTTTTGTCATACTTTTTCTTTGATTATTTTTTTATCCAAATTTAATTCGATATAAACACTCGACAATGTCGAAATTATTTGATTTCGTCTAAATGAGCTAATTGTAGTTATACCCCGTGCTATTTGTATTATTCAAGTGAAATTAAATAGATACATATATAGATTTAGAAAAAACTATTCATACACATGATCAATGAGGGATGAAAAAAATTATTTTGTAAAATATGAGGGATGAAAAAATTCATTTTGTGAAATGTGAGGGACAAAAAAATTTATTTTGTGAAATATAAGGGACCATCGATCGAATTGTGTAAAATTAATTTGACAATTTTGCTCTTAAAAAATGATCACGTACAAGGTACGTGATGGATTCCTGCCAAAAACTAGTCGTAAGTCTAGGTAGGGATCAAATTTGACCAATATGAATTTGTAAGGGACGTAAAATTACACTTTTAAAAGTGAGGGACAAAAAAAGTTATTTTACAAAATGTGAGGGATATTTTAAACGATTTTTCCTATAAAATATGACTACATGTGGGTCACGTGTTAATTTCAGGCTAAAAATGATTGGAAACTTAGGTTAGAATCGAATTTTACTGACTTGAATTTGCAAGGAAAATGAAGTTAATATTTTAAAAGTGAAAAATGAAAAAAATTCATTTGGCGAAATGTAAGGGACGTTTTGAATGATTTTTATTTTAAAATAATTACTGTATCACTTTTTGTGAGGTAATAGACGTGAGATAAAAAAAAATGTTTGAGAAGTTAAAAAATTGATTGGAAAACGTGTTTACGATGCAAACAAAATAATATTTGGAATAAAATTGGTATCCACATAAAAATCTTTGTGGTTTAAATATATCTTGTTAAACAACATAATCTTTCGTATAAAGCAAAAAACCAAGGGAAATCACAAATTGTAATAGCTTCAACCGAAATGCTAATTATATACCCTCACCTAAACATTAAAGACTTTTCTTTCTATTTGATTTCATTGCTACAGTATTTTAGGGCTATGGAATTCCTTTCTATTCTTATAAGTGAAATTATTAGTTAATTGAATGTTATTATCTTGGTTAATTATAGTGTAATTTTCTAATATATGTGAAACCTACTCTCGTAGTGAATCAATTATACTTATAGTTAAACTATACCTACTCTCGTGGTTATGAAATTAATCATAAACTCATTTCTTCTATGAAATTATATGGAACAAGCCACTAAAGTCACAAAGGTGTATCTCTACTCTCGTGAGTGTACTCTCTAGGTTTAGCACTTTCTTGAACTAGTGTTAAATCCCAATTCTTATTGCAAACTTAACACATTAACAT